CCGGCCCGGGGCTCAGCCGCCCGCCCATCCCCGCAGGCAGCGCGCGTTGCCGCCGGGCTCACCTGGTGGTGCTGCCGCCGCGGCCCGAGCCCGATCGCTGCGCCCCCCGCCCGCCTCGTCGGCTTTAATGGGCCCCGCCGCCTCCCGCGCTCGCTTCCGCCTCACCGACAACTTCCGCTCACGGGGCCCGGCGTCACCGCGCGCCGCACACGTGACCCGCCCGCCATCTCAGGGCGCCGAGGCCCAGCGCGGGCCCACTCCGTGGGGGTGGAAAATAAAATAAATGTTTGTGGAAAATAAATGTTTGTGGTACCACCGGAGCCCGCACAGAAGGGAGGGAGGGATGGGAAAGGACCTGCCTCCCCCGCTGGCTTCCAATGAACACCGGGCCCTGGCCTGAGGGGAGGTGGAAAGGGCCAAAGAAACCTTCATAATTGATGAGAACACACGGGCACAAATCTGTTCTTTGGTGTCTTCTAAATAGCATTGAAGAATTAGCACGGAGTTCCCTACAGTTAAATTCCTATGTGAAAAAAAACTCAGTTATTGCTATTAGAAATAAAGAGGCAACATTTTAGATTATATATGGTTAATATTTACAAATTTTTACTTGCAGCTGTAATTTAAAGTGGGGTAGTAGCACCAGTGCATGTCAGGAAAGAAGATAAAAGATGCCAGTTGGATGTACATTCAGATTAATTAACCAGGCAATTGTCAGCACCAAGAGCAATAGTGCAGGGAGTGAAATGGGAGCCTCTGAAGTGTCTGGACCTAAATCCATGGGGTTACAACTATCCTGGCGGTACAAGTGAAATCCGTATTTTCTACTCTCAGTTGGCAGCAGGTTCATTTAGTTACTCAGCAATTACTTGAATATTATTACTCATCCAAGTCATGTGACTGCTGTGGGTTTAGTTAGCTTATGAACTCAGGAAAGCCACCATGGGAAAAAAAAGTATTTTTAAAGCTAATGAAAGATAATAAAGGACTGAGGCAGTATTCCAGCAACATTAAAAAGAAAATCACACAATGACAGACTTGTTGGGATGACAGACTTGTTGGGGTTGGAAGAGACCTCTGGAGATCATCCAGCCCAGCCCATGCCAAGGCAGGGTCACCCAGAGCAGGTGACACAGGAACACGTCTAGGTGGGACCTGAATGTCTCCTGAGACTCCACACCCTCCCTGGGCAGCTGTTCCAGGGCTCTGCCACCCTCAACCTAAAGAAATTCTTTCTCATGTTGAGGTGGAATTTCTTGAGTTTTCATTATGGCCTTTGCTCCTCATCCTGTCACTGGGCACCACCAAAACGAGTCTGGCACCATCCTCTTGGAGCTATCTTTGAGATACTTGCATGGATTACAAATCCCCTCTCAGTCTTCTCGAGACTACACAGGCCCAGTCTCTCCTCATAAGAGTGATGCTCCAGACTCCAGAGAAGGAAAATTTCAGCAACAGTTTATTAGTGCTTTTAGGGTGCCCCATTAGATGCAAAGAGCTGCAGAAAAACCTGGTATCAGTTAAAATGCAGACTGGACAAAAGAGGAAAAGCCTTCAGCACATCCGCAGCTGGTGGAGCAGAGCACTGGCTTGTCCCGGTGCATTGCCTTTAACAGGAGACCCACGTGCTGGGCTCTTATGGGCAGACATTAATGGCAAATAGTGGGTGTTCCTCAGCTCTCTTTTCTTAAGAGTTTCCTTTTAAATTTTTTTTTTACATAAGGTGAAAAGCAAACAAAACCTGTGAGTTAAATTTCCTCCTGCTGGCACCACCAATTACAGACCTTTGTAATGCAGAACTTCACAAAAAGTTCCTGTGCCACTTGCTCTTGATAAGACCAACAGATGCTTTCCAATCCTCAGTGGGAACACAGCATTTTCTTAAGCTGATGAGGCAAGATCCTCCTTCCCTCCAAGGACATACAGATCCTGGCCCTGGGGAGGACCAGGGGCAGCAGACAGGTCCCTGCTATCCAGGATGGGAGCTACATTCAGAGTGGCAGAGTGAAAGCAGGAGGATGGAGTGGCAAATGGAAGTATTGAGCTATGGCTCCTGAAATACCTCCCTCTCCCCTCCCCATCAAAATAAACACCTACCCTGGGGACACCAGAGTGTGCTGCAGTGAGCAGCCCAGCACACTGAGGTTTAGCAGTCTGTGAAGGAAACTATAAAATGTCCAACCCCAATGAAAACCCATAAAAACAGATCAGTTTGAAACCAAATGCCAATCGTTCCTAATCACTAACACAGCTCTGAAGAAATCCATTCTCTATCCTTGAGGGGCATTCACACAGCTGAGTGGATCTCTGAGGTTACAGTAAGAGATCTTTAGACATTTACTGGTGCAGAAACCTCAACCTATTTCATGCATTCATTCCTCTAAACCAGGAAGTGAGAATGTCTCCTGCTTTGATTTTCTTCCTTTTGTGTCACCTAATCTCTATTTGCTAATCATCCTGATCCAATTAGAGACAATCAAACATTATATGTCTTACACCACCTCTGTGCTTTTGTCCTTGGACCAAAAGAGCCCCTCCTTTTCCCCTCTCATTTCTGAGATTATGGAGTGAACAGTGGTACAAAAACAGCTGCAGAGAGGCCCAGGGAGGACATCACCTCAGCTGTGGCAGTACAGATCCCTGCCATGAGCTGAGAGCATCTCAGATTCCCCACAGTGTGTTCACCCTCTTCTGTGGACACACAGCTACCCCACCCCTGGCCATCTGTGACATTAAAAGCTTGAGTAGAGTCCCTTATTCCCCTGATACTTGTTCAGCATATTTCAGCTCTTCAGAGTCCTGCAGCCCCTCCTCCTCATCGCTGGGAGCAGCCTTTCTTTGCCTCTGTGCCCAGAAGGATGTAGCACCAGCCTCTGGTGGCTGTGCCTCAGTGAAAATTGACTGCCCAGAGCTTCCTGTGCATAGCTGTCCTCTCTCAGCTGGCTGTGCAATGCTGTCCCTTGTCACTTTTGGCCTTCCAGACCAGCTTCCTCAAATTATCATTATAATGTTCTAACATATGGAAATTTAAAAAGGGAACTAAAATGCAGTAAATACACAAAATGTTGCTTTGATACTCCAAGCTTTGTCATGCTTTGATTTATCTTGTCTAAAGCAGATTCCCCCTGCTTCTGCTGGCATTTTGTTAATTAAAAATCTGCTATTGCATGACCACCTATGTATTTCCACTGGCAAGAGCAGAGACCCAGGCAAGAGCACAGCCTGCCCTGTCCCCTAATCCCTGCCTGCAGTACAAATACTGTTCTGGTAATCTGCTAATGCTTTCACCTTTGCAATCCTCTGATAGTTGCCAAGTCATAGAACAGCATCACATGAAAACAAAAAGGTAGCTCTGGACAAGCCTTGATCACCAGATACCAAATACAGAAAGCAACTGCAGTCACTTTATCTCATGGCAGATCTCCAGTCTGTGGTGCAGAGGACACAACACAGTGCAGGGATTATGTCTGTGCTCACCCAGCAAATGCATCTGCTGGAGGATGAACATCTTAAAGCACTGGTACAGGGCCTAAATGCAGCCACTGAAACCTGAGCCCCGCAGGGAGGGTGGGGCTGACCTGCAGTGATGCAAAGCCCGATTGTGCCAAGTCCCCTCACACCAGACACAAGAGACACATAAAAGAAATGGCTTTGGACTCTTTTGACAGCTTCCCCCTGTTCAATAGCAACAGCCACAAAACCACTGCAGAGTTGTCATCTCTTTGATACTGGGAGGTGGCAATGCTGGCACCTTCCCTTAGCTGCCAGCTCACTCCCTGAGATGAGAAGGTCCAAACACCTGCTCTGCCTTGAGTCAGCCTCCTGCAGAGGCTGTGGACAAGATGCTGAGCACAGGGGATATCCTTAGACAAGTATCCATGTTGGCCCTGGCAAGACAGGCAAGCCCATGCTGCTGGTCATGGTGTAAGGTGGGCCCCACATGGCTTTGTGCCTACTGAAGTTATCTGGGCCTAGGCTGGTGGAAACCAAAGCCCATGGAAAAGCCACAGAGGAAGGGATATTTCCATGGCCCAGACTTTGTGCTTAGGGCCAGAGAGGCATCCACATATTATTTATAATCATAAACCCATGAGGTTGTCACACAAATAGTGACAATCACCTGAGCCTCCTGCAGGTCTCCCAGCTGCCCTTCCACCCCATCTACAGAGGTTCTCCAACACCACCACCACCTTCCCACTTTTACAGCCAGTCATAAATACCAGATAATTATTTTTTTACAGCTGCATTGGGAGGTATGCCAGGTAATTTCATATGACTGTTCTCATACTCAATTCAAGAAGATGATCCAAAGACTGAAGTAACTTCCTTGAGGCCAGAGTGAGTCAGTTACTTTGTCCCTCTAAACACATTCTGAAAGGCTAAGGACATTCTGAAAGGCTTTTCAAACCATAGGAATGGTATAAAAATAGGTACAGAGAGAGGTGAACAGCCGGCACAGAACTGCACAGGCTTTTGCAGAACTGGCCTTGCTTCAGGGATCAAGCTTTTGAATGAGGAGTGTGTTACCAAAGCAGCAGGTTCCATGAACTGTTACTTACCAAGCACTGAAGCCTTCACAGTGCAGATCTGGTGAGCCTGAGAGCTCTCAGCTCATGCCATTAGTGGCTTTTAAGGCACAAGGGCAGGCAGGACAGGCCAGTGGCTGGCAGGGCCTGGAACACCTTGCAGGTACCACTGCACGGGTGCTGTGCGATGGGGTGGACCAGCCACGTGAGCTCTGCATCCAGCATTTTGTGACAAAGGTGGCCATGTCATGCTGTTGTTGCACTCAGAATGTGTCATGGGAAAGGAGCCTGGAGCCACATGACCTCTGTGAGTGGGACAGGTGACTTGCATGTTGCTTCTTCCTTAACAGTGAGTCAGTGTCCAAAGATGTCCCAAAGAAGCTCTCTGTGGCTAGGAACCAATCTGGCTGCAATGCAGCACACTCTCAGGGTCTGCAGGTCCATCCTGCAGCCCAGGAGACTGGGGCTGTCTGCAGAGGCCTGGGAAGTTCCTCTGGGACCCTCCATGGGAAGGACACAGATGTCCCACAGCAGGATTCCCACCTCAAACACCAGGCAAGGCACAGGGTGCTGCACATTAGCTTCAGATCTATCTGCTTCAGCTCTTTTCAAGTGACAGATTTTCGCAATGCCCTCTTGTCTGCTCTAAAAGGAGAAGCAAATCCTGTATCAATGGTAACCACAAGAAGCTGGAATAATTTTGAGTACATGTTTTCAGAGACTGTGACAAAGATACTCAGCCTTGAAGGATAAGGGTGTGTGGGCAGTGAGGTTTGCTTTGCTTTTATCTTGGACAACACTTTTCAATGCCTGGTATCTCAGCAGCTGCATTTCTGACCCCAGGGAGTTATGACTCACTGTTTGCAAATCTCTGAGCCACCAAATTGAAGGTATGCCTTGCAAAGCATGATTCTAAACTGAAATGCTTATAAGTGGGTGTTACAGCTCTCCAGTTATTCTGTTCCAGCACTCAGGGCTGGTTCCATATTGCTGCCTAAATTTCTGGCAAATAGAAATCAGCATCTCTTACTTTGTTTAGATAAACAGGATCTCTCAGGGTTTGTCTTCTTCAGTGAAGTTCTCAACCAACCTGTGAGCAGTGAGGCTACAGAAGATGCATTATCCCACCTATCCCAGCACAATGCCAGCCTGAGGAAATCTATTCTGCCCAGTTGCTTCAGACACCAACATCAGAGCTGAGGCTGGCCCTCTGGGGGCTAAGGCTGTCTTTCAGCTGCTTTCTGGGTGACCTGTGTGGGGTTGAGTGAGCCACTGACTGCCATCCTTTCTGTTGGAATACATCAGTTTGCTGACTCAAGGACAAACAACACAAATGTTTTATCAAACATTTCTTAGCAGGCAGGCAGGAGAGCTTTGTGTGGGTAGCCCAAGGCCTTCAGAGAAATAAATAAGAACAAATGACCAAAAGATCCTCACATTTCTTTTTTCCTTGATCATTACTGTTTTTCTTATCAGGAAGGTGTCTGCATACAGTGCTGCAGACCAATGCTGTTCACAAGGGGTTAATGCTCCCTCTCTTTGGGAGACCTGTGAGGGGAAGGAATCACCACCATCCATCTGGCAGGGCATGATGAGGCTGTCTCTTGGGAAGGGGCCACTGCTGACCACCACATCCACACATGTCAGGGTCCATGAACAGCTGGGCTTGGGTCAGAGGTTTTGGTCCAGCCAGGCAGGGGCTCAGGGGTGCCTTTGCTGGAGAAATGGAAATCCCAGCTGACACTTCACAGAACAGGATCCAGGATGGCCCTTGCCAGCGGATTCACAAATTTAGTAACCTGGTGAGAAATCTGCATTATCTCACTGCTTGAAGTCAGAGCTCTTGGAGGGAGCAAGACAACTGCCAATCTGTAAATGACCCCCTCTTGTTTGCTGTCAGTGGGATCCTCAACTTCCTGCTGCGTGTGGCAGATCCTGCAAAACTGAAGCTTTAAAATCCAGGTTTAAACTCTCTGTGAACAACAGGCTCCTAGGTAGATACACAAGCATGTGCTTTCCTTTCCAAAAGCAAGCTGAGGAAGAGGAGTTGCTCCATATGAAGATAGCAACTCCCTTACTGTGCAGAGTGGCAAGTGACAATTCATTGCCAGACTTCATTGCCACTGAGGATGGATGGACCACAGAACTGTACTGTTCTCAGGTCGTTCCTGGCACCACATTTGCCAGACCTTAAAGGGTCAAGAGGAAAAATGCAACAGCACTTATCAGAGAGATAGGCACTAAATCCCACAGCAGTCCCGTGACACCCGGGCACTGCATCACTGCACAGCCTTTCCCTCACCTTCCGTCCTTCAACCCGGACACAAAGCACCTCCTGAAGCGACCCCAGCAGCGGCACTGCACACCCAGAGCCTGGCAGGCAGCAGGAAGGCACAATGAAACCTGCAGATCCTTCACCCCGGGGGACAAACCACCTCCTGAAGCGACCCCAACAGAGGCACTGCACGCCCCAGAGCATGGCCGGCAGCGGGAAGGCACAATGAAACCTGCAGATCCCTGCAGCGCGAGGTGCCCGCTAGCCCGCAGGTCCGGGCGGTTCTCACAAACAGCCCATCACAAAGAGCCTCACCGGGGGCTGCTGCGGGAGGCAGCCGGGTCCTGCCCGCCATTGTTTGTTGTCGTTGCCAAGGTGAGGCTGCAGCGACGGGGGCGGGGCCGAGTGGGCGGGGCCGGGGCCTTCCAACCGCGCCCCCGCCGGCACCGCCCCTCCGGCGCGCCACGGGCGCCCCCTGGCGGCGACGCGCGGCCATGGCGGGGGTGCGGCCGAGGGGACATGGCCGAGGGGACAGGGCCATGGCCAGGGGCAGGCGAGGCTTTTTGTCACCCCTCACCGCTGGGAACCGCCTCCATCGCCCAGTCTGGATGGGGCACAAGTGTCACCGCTGCCTGCAGCTGCCGGCCAGCCCAGGTCAGGGATCTCAGCACAGCCTCTCAGGTGCTCCTACCTTGATTCTGCTGCGGGCTCTTTCAATGTATTGATCTCTGTGATTTCAGCCAAACGCGGCTGCTGTTGCCTCCATCACTGACCCTGGGAGGTTGCAGCCCTGGGGTAAGCAAGCAGATGGAGAGGTGTAATTCTCTGTCAGGCCATGCAGGGATTTGCAGATCTGCAGCACAAGGGTGAGATGAAGCTGCTGCCACAGGAGCCAGCAGGTCTCCCCTCTGCCCATAGCAAGGACTCCCAGCCTCCTCCTCTGGAGCCTGGAAGGACAGCAGGTTCCTGCCTCCTTGGTTCTCAACATCTGTCCTTTCCAAGTATGCACTTTTGCCCTTCTCTCTTCTCCTCTGGCTTTGCAGATGCCAGTCCACCAAAGGTATTTTCAAGCTGTGGGTGTAGCCAGGTTCCTGTGTGAACTGTGAAGTACTTGAGTGGCAGCCTTGATCAGACTCTCATTTTTTAAATATAGTTATAACAGTACTGTTCCCTCTATCCAAAACATGCTCTGATCCTGTGACAAAATCCAGAGCCACTCAGCCCAAGGCAGCTCTCCTTGTGTGGACCACATACCTAGCTCAGCTTTTCCATTTTAACTGTACACGTGTAGCAGATTTTTTTCATTTACAGCCTGCCAGTGCCTGCCTATGGCTATTTCAGTTACATTTTCAGTAAGCTTTAAGAAGAGTTTAAAGTACTTTTTAAATTATGAAATGCCCTCTTTTCCACAATTTTTTTCCCCTTATTTCAACAACACTCATCACACAGTAGTCTCACCCCTTGCAGGACTCACAGATGCTCTCCCACATTCTTCCAGAAGGTTTTCCCTGTGTTTACCAATGCTTCAGACAATTGCTGTGCACAGGCAGGTTTCTTTCATTATTTTCTCCTGAGTCTTGCGGTCTAACAAGGAGAGAAAACCAGATTTTTTTTTAAACCAGGAAAAAATTATTTTAAAGAAAGGTGAGCACTATAAGGAGTGGAGAGGGAGGGGCTACTGCAGATAAGTAACTTGAAAAAATCCAGAGGAGCAGCCCCTGGACAGACAGTGCCCCATCACTACTTTCTCTGTGAAAGCACGACGTGTTTCCAGAGTAGCTGAACAAAGAGTAGGAACCAAGCTCCAACCAGCTCCCCTAAGTCCACCATTCCATGGAAATCACAAGCAAACCCCAAATAAGAATAATGGTGTGTTTTGCTTGGCAGAGGCTCAGTGTGAGTTGTGCTGACAAGCTAAAAAATGAGACTGTAAAAACAATGAAACTGGAAGAATGTTGTTGTTCTTTTTCTCCAGCTGCTTTTTGAGGGCCTTAGCAAGGCTAAGCAGACTCTGCCATCACTCAGCCACCTCATACCTGTGCTCTCATGACTGGCAACTACCAACACCTTGCTCTGAATAAAGAGAGAGAAATGCCCTCTGCCTCCCACTGGCAGCCAAAAGGCTGATTTTACCTACACAGGGTTAAATGGTGAAACACCAATAAAATCTGAAGCAGGGAGGTTTTTTCAAGATCACTGATAGATTTGTACTAAAATCTTCAAGGTGTTGCCAGCATGACTTCTGGTACACATACCCAGCCCTGTTTATTCTCTTCTGTCCCTGACCTGGGCTCCTCAGAGAGCAACACATTGTATCGTGGTGCAAGCTCCCCTCTGGCATGAGGATCACAGCAGAATAAATCCTGTTCCCTGCTGCTACAGGCTGCAGTGTGCTTCTGTAGTCACAGCCAACCACTCCTTCTACAAAACAACTTCTCCTTCCCTCCTTGAGAGCAAATTGCTCTGACAGATGACACAGCTCTGAGTTTGGCATCAGCCCTGTGTAAACACAGGAGCACAGGGCCTTTCCTGGGGTGCGGTTCTGGTCATGGCCTTTCCTGCCAGAGGCATTCATTGGCCCACGATGGTGCCTCAGCCCTGGCAGATGGCTCCATCCGGCTGTTCCCTCCCACTGCTCCAGCCCTGGGGCTGACACACCCTCTCCCCAGCACAGGGGAGCTGGGGCACTGTGCCAGTGCCTGCATGGCACCAGGGGCTGCTCACCTCTCTCATGCTGCTTAACCTGACCTGCAGCTCTCTGCTGGAGGGGGACATTCCTTGCAATGAGAGAACAAAAAAACATATGAAGAGACACAAAAAGCAGTTCTGAACTCCTGTCTCTCTCTGTTACTTGGCACCAGGCCTGGGTAGCCAGATATGCACACAGGCACTGCACAGCCTGCAGGCTGTCCCCAGGCTGTCCCTGGAGCTGTCCCAGCCACCATCACAGCCAGCCAGGGGCCACCAGCAGCTGTGACTGACCCCATGCATGAAGGACAGCCTGGCACTGCTCACAGGGCAGTGGCAAGAAGGGCCTGTACAGCCAAACTCAGCCTTGAGCAAGCCCAAAGGCAGCACCTTTTCAACCTAAAGACAAATTTAGTCTATGCGGTAGGGCTGAAGTCTTGAAACAGATGATACACAGGCTCAGCATGCCTCAATTATCACAATTAGAAATGGATTCAAACACGGGGTTAGTGTACAGCACTCTGGTTCAGAGCTCACCAGGGATGGGTCACATATTGAAACTGGCATTCACCAGCCAGGTCAAATCCAGCCTCTGAGATGAACCCATTGGAGAGAAATTTTTGGCTCGGGACAACTGAAGCCCAATAATTTCCAGACATAAGGGACACATGCATTTATTTCTTTCCCTCCCTTTACCAGGAGAAATTGCCCTAAGGGAGAGAGGGAAATAAGAGCTGCATGTGTTATTAAAGAGGCTGACTGGAGTTCATTTATTCCGTGTGACACATGGAAGGACAGTGACAGCCCTTCCTAGCAGAGGAACTTGCAGACCCAACCAGGGAGTCCCCAGCTGCAGCACTGCTGGCCAGCCTTTAATTAGAGGTGGCTGTTCTGCTCAGCCTCTCATGTTTCACAGTTGCTTCCCCCTGAACATGCCTACCCAGCTCCAGGCCCCAAAGCCCAGCTCTTTGGAGAAGGCCAAGATAAACAGGCTTTTCCTGGAGAGCAGAGGGACTTGGAATATTTCCCTGGCTGGAAACATGAGGCCGAGGAGGTGGAACCCACCCCTGCAGGCATCTCCTGCTGTGCTGCTGGAAGAGAACACCACTGTCACTGAAACAGGGTGACAAAACTACCTGCTTGTGCTAGGATATGCTTACAGGGTGAGTTGCCAAATTCACAGGCATTTATGTATTTACCTACATAAATCAAAAGGAAATTGAAGTAATTTGCCAAGAAAATTTCCATGACAGGAATTTGGGGGTGTGGGGGGTGGTAAGAGAAGAAAAGGAAGGCTAGCTGAGAAATTATGCTGTTTTGAACATAGCACACCAGGAGACATCCCATTCTATTTAGCCTTTGCCAAGGGGCTGTTTGACTCCATATCCAAACACGTAATTTAGGAAATCCTCTTCCGATACTTGGCAATCTCAGGCCAAATCAAAGAATTATCTCTGTGACTCTATTAGGATCTTAAAGAAAGATTGAGTCCTGGATCACATTATGCAAACATGAAAGGTCTGCTGTCCCACAGGGCTCACAGGCAAAAGCCCTGCTCTGGCAATCACAGCAGACAACATCCATTCCTTGCTTTTATCTGCCTTAGATATTTGAGAATAAAGTGTCAATCACCTCTTCCCCAGTCACGTGTTAAACCACTAACATTTTCCTTTCCCCAGCTGTCTTCAGTCAGTGCAGGGCTGGTTACCATGCCTTGGCTACCTGCAGCACTTCTACTCTGGCATCACCAAGCTGTCAGTTATCTGTGGTTTTTTTAGCAGAAAATTTGGGTTCATCTTAACTCTATTTGTGTTAAACCTCACCTTCCAGAGCGAAGTGTGCCAGGTCAGTGAGATGAACTGTCCCGATTTGAGGCTCATTAATTCAACAGCATAATCAATCCATCCCTTTGCAGTGCCTGGTGCTACATCCCAGTGCCATCCACACTGACACCTCCTCTGGGCCGTCCTATGCCCAACACTTCCCAATGCCTTCCCATCCCCGTGCCCAACACTTCTCAATGCCTTCCCATCCCTGTGCCCAACACAAGATTGACATCTCTGGCCCCTGGAAGCCCTGGCAGGAACCAGCCACTACTAAAAGCATGGAGAAACAAAGCTGCTTTGTGCCGTGGCAGGAGACGAGGCTGAGGAGCACCTGAAACCCCTGAGTATCCCGTAATATTTTTTATAGTTGTTTTTCCTCTCTTTTTCGGGCAGAAAAAGAAGTGAGAAACCCCAGCATGGCCAAACAAGCAGCGCTTGACCGGCCCCGAGGCCCGCCCAGCCCTGGGAGCTCAGCACGGGCAGGGGCCCATCGCCCAGCGGGAACACCCGAGCGCGGAAGCGCCGGAACTGCGCGAAGCCGAAACCACCCCCAGGACTCCGGCAGAGCCCGCCCGGCTTCTCACCTCAGGCCCGGCCTCCTCCTCCTCTCCTCCCCGCCTTCCTGAGGCCGGGCCTCCAGCGCCGGTGGGCGCCGCCATCGCGCGCCTCCTCCCCCACCGGGCGCCGCCATCTTGTGCCGTGCCCGTACAGCGCGGGCGCTGCCATCTTGTGCCCTCCCCGCGCGGTGTGCCGGCCATGGCGGGGCTGCCGTGCCGCCTGCTGCTCCTCTGCCTGGCGGCTGCCGCCGCCAGCGCCGATCTAGTGCTGGAGGAGGTGCGGCGCTCGCTGGACCTCAGCACGCACCTGGCCAAGATCTCGGCCGAGCTCAGCCTCGCCAATGCGCCGGGCGGCGCGGCCGCCTCCACTTTCCTGCTAGCTCTGGAGCCCGGGCTGGAGCCCCGGCTAGCCCACCTGGGCGTGCAGGTGAGCGAGGGGAGCGGGCACCGAGCGCCGCGCCCGGGAGGCCGCGGGCGCTGCCCGGCCCTGCGCCCGAAGGGACACGTCGGCACTGCCGGGTCCTCAGCGCCGCTCCCGGATCCCGCGGCCGGCCGGGAATGGGGGTGTGTGCCGCGGGGTGAGGGCGGGGGTGGCAGGCCTGGAGACCGTGAGGGGGCGATTCACACCGACAGGCTGGGCACGGGTCGCCGCCAGCACGGACGGAGCAGGGCTGGCAGGCCGAGGGGCACGGCCCTTACCCACAGGAGGATCAGAGGAGCAGTAGGACTATATTTCTGTTGTAGTCCCAGAGGTACTGTCACTTTAGATAAACTCAGAGAGGGGTACATGCAGAGAGGGGTACATGCAGTGCTCTATAGTATATCTGTATGCCGAGTTCTGTCGTATACCTTGATCAATATTCTCATTCGTGCAACTTACGGTGACTGTGCCGGCTTGGGAACCAGGCTGAGGGAACATGGGAACACACAGCACACTGATCCCATATGTTGTTCGGGAACAGGTGAAAGGCGAGGAAGAGGAGGAGAACGCCTTGGAAGTGAAAGAGACCAAAGTTAAGGGCAAAAGGTGAGTATCACCCTCTAAGGTGAATACCTAGAGGTGTGCATGGGGAGTTCCTAACTCCTCACAGTGAAGCAGAGATACTCCCCCAGTTCCACACACCTAGAGATCAGGAGTATTTTCTTCCTCATCTGTGCTCAGTCTCTTGTACTCAGTGCCTTGAGTAATGCCCTGGCCCCCTGGGACACCAGGTGAGAGAAGTGTTTGGTCATGCTCTTTCCCATTCCTCCATTCTGAGCTCTCAGACGGTTGGCGGTGGTGACTACAGAGAGTTTAGTGCCCTGTGGCAGTGCGTAGAGCATCACAGAGTGCTGGGTGCCATGGCCCAGTGCAGGCTCTTCCTGCTGCCAGGAGAGAGGATGCTGCTGTTTGCATCAGGCTCTATACTGCCAAGCTTGGAATATTATGTAGGTGCTGCAGGCAGGTGTTTTCTGAGCCATGAGAGCTGAGAGGTGAGCGATGCCTTTGAAGTGGCTCAAAAGCACAGT